TGTATTGTGTAACTAGTGTGGGACAGGGGATTAATACCTGTGTCCAAGAGCCATCTTCTTGTTTCACCCTCCTCTGCGCAAGTTCACCAGAATGTGCCGTGTGCATTGTGGAGCACACTCATATCCATCCATTTTACATAAACAATGGGGCCATCCCAGTTCCATATTATGGAGCCTCTATCTGATACTTTTGTGAGGGCATTCATATCTGTGCCCCGTTCTTGTGGTTCCCCCTGTAAGTCCCTCAGGCAGTACATCTGCGCTCCTGAAGAGCCCTGAAGAGCTTGGCCCTAAAATAGAATCATCCATGTAAAGGTTGTAGCCTGTGCCAAGGTTACCTGGCTGCACTAGGGATATAACAACATCATAGGACAGGCCATGTCCAGAAGCAACGTCACTTTTGTCTGTGTGAATTCCCTGAGTCAGCCAAGACGAACAGTTTGAATCCCCATTTTGTGGGTTTTCCCTTCATATACTGGGTCATACCAGTTTCAGCTTTGGAGGCAACCCTTCTTTCATCCACAGTGTGGTCTCTGTGGGGGTGTCAAATCAAATGACTTGTATGCATTCTTGAGGGTGTCCACCAAGGGTTTTAGCCGGAAGTGCCTGTCGTGCTGGGCTTTGCCTCTTTTTCCTGTCATAATGGACATCTTCATCAGGGTCACTAAGATGAAGATTCCAAGATATTGCTCTGTATCTGTCCCATGACATGATCTGTGACATGATGGCAGATGCAAAGAAAAGAGGTGATCCTGCCTTCAGTAATCCCTGATGCTGTCAGTTTTTACCAAGGCCATATACAGAAGCAGCCCAATGTACTTATAAAAATCCCCTATAAAATCATTGTTTTCTTTTATTATTTTAGCATTGTGTTAACTTTTGTGGTTTATAAATGATTGATTGATTTTGTATGTAAGAATTTGAAACATTGCATAAGGTCATTAAAAATAACATGAATTGGTCTCTGCTTTGTTTTGTTTGTTTCTAATATTTAAACATCAGCAAATTTTATCCATTTTCTTTCCCAAAAATTAGATTTAAAATTCCTGTTTTTCGTATGACACATTTTTCTTATTGTAACACAATGTTGGCCCAAAACATACCCCAAAAAGATCTCTAAACATATTGTTTATTACAAATTGTTTTTGATTTTAATAATCAGATCATCCATTTTATTTAAGAAAAATGACAAACATGTATTAAATGCTGCTTTCATAATGCATGAACTAGAGTTTTAAGTAATGTGCATGCTTTCCTAACAGATGCCCACAGGACAAAGATTAAATCTTGACTGTTAACTGTATTTAGTCCACTGCAGTCACTCTGGTGCAGCTTTTGTGGATTTATAATGTCACCATCAAGTCTTATCTAGTGGTACACATGCTTCTCTCTTCCCCCTGATAAAACAGTGAACATAGGAGCAACATACACAAAATAAACCATTTCTCAGAAATCTCCATTTGGAGTCCTGTTTGAAATTTGCACAAAAACATCTGAAAGATCCTCCAACATACTGGCAGAAAGTTTGGTGTTCAGATGAAACCAAAGGCAAAAACCTGACACTGCCCATCATCAAACCCCCAACACCATCCTGATTGTAAACCATGGTGATAAAAGCATAATGTGGGGATATTTCTCATTTGCAGGGACTGAGGAGCTTGTGAAGATTGAGGTGAGGATGGATGGAGCCAAGCCTGGTGAGATTCTGGAGAAAAGCCTGATAAAATCAACAAAACGTCTGGAAATGTGTTGGTAATTCACATTCTAACAGGACAATGATCCCAGGCATAAGCTGAACCAAAAATGGCTTGTTAGGAAGAAAATAGAGGCTTTGAAGTGGATAGTCAAAGCCCTGGCCTTAATTTCTTTGGCTGTCCATCACTGAAAACCATCTGACCTCAATTTTGAAAAGTTCTGCAATGAACACTCCAATTTAAACCCCAGACATTTACAGAAACTGACCAAATATGTCAAAAATTTGCAAGGAAGTGCATTTTGTATTTTCCTAGTTTGACACTTTGAACTATTCGTAGTTCCAGCCTGAAGCCCAGCTGCTTGTGTGCTCTTACGACTCCATGACTGTAGTTCTTTTGTTCAAATACAGCTTTTAAATGGCAAGATGTTCTATTGTTGACTCTCAAAGCTATTTCCAGCTACTCTAATGGAGAATTTACTTATCACTGACGTACACCATATGATCAAAAGTATGTGGACAGCAGGCCATCACACCTATATAAGCTTGTTGGGCCATTCCACAGCCATGCGCATTAATGTGGAGTTTGTCCCCTCTTTGCAGCTATAACAGCTTCCATTTTTCCGGGAAGCTTTCCACAAGCTTTGGAGTGTGTCTGTGGAAATTTGTGCCCTTTCAGTCAAAAGAGCATTTGAGAGGTCAGGCACTGATGTTGGCCAGATAGGCCTGGCTTCCAATCAATGTTCCAATTCAGACGTATATCTATCCAAAGCCCACACACAGTGAGGAGGAAGGTAGAATATGGATATGTAGAGTGAGGAAATATAGATGACTTAATCTTGCTTAAATATTATGTAGTAAAGACCCAAAATATGTTTAATCATTCCCTGCTTTACAATAAAACAGTAATGCATTGGTATTAAATGTCATAAACAGTGTCAATTATTTTGTGCCTTTTTAAATTAATATTTGTTTAGAAGTAAAAATAATTGTGCCATCCGCTGTTCATACTGTACATTGGTGGTTGAATAGTGTTGGATCTCCAAGGGCAGATGCAATTAGAAACCAGCATGGCCATACAATAATCAGAATAATTCCAATATTGGTTTATTATGGGTTTACAGACGATTTTAGGAAATGGAATACAACTATAGTCATAGTTCACATCTTAAAGTGTCAGAGAGCATAGAGCAACAGTACAAAAAGTAAAAAAAAACAAACAAACAAAAAAAAACAAATTTAATAAGCTAGAAAGGTGTGTTTCTTTATCTTCTGATGATTGATTTGCATGCACCCTAAAAGGATCTCTGCACACATTATTTTTGTTTGTTTGAATTCATTCATGTGTCAATTAATCCCAAAGGTGTTCAGTGTGGTTGAGGTCAGGGCTCTGTGCAGGCACTCCTCAAACCATGTCCTTATGAACGTCACTTAATGCACAGGGGCATTAGATTTGATCAAGGCTAAAGTGTACTGTGGAATGCTTGATTTTATGCACCTGTTAGCAATGGGTGTGGTGAAAACACCTGAACTGAATAACTAGGAGGGCTGTCCACATACTTTTGGCCATATAGTGTACAATGAGTCTAAAGTGTAATTTACATGAAAAATACAGCACTAATGCTGGTGATGGTAATATCAGTAACGTTAGCACTGCTCAAGGGAGAACTACGGATTAACAAACAACTGAAGAAGTGGAATCAAGGAGCGATATACAGGGCGGTCATGGGGGATCCAGGACCTCCTGAATGTCTCAAAATCAAAATGCTGGGAGGTCCCTGAAGTTAAAAGCGTCCATTAAAGTTAATTAGGGAAAATTCAGGGAAAGCTCATTGTTTAGGTGCTTCACCCACAATCAGCGAGCTTTTGTCTGTATTCTTAACTTACTAGAGCTGCAGCACTGGTCTGTCTCAGGGTGGCGCTGTAGCAGATTTGTTCACCTAGTTGTTCCTTAATAGCCTAGCAACTGTAACAACAACCGAGATACCTCTGAAAAACTTTACAAGCCACATGCCACAGCATATCTCCAAATATGAAGACTATCCAAAATCTGAAAAACTCAATTTCCCAGTCTGGTGGAAAGAATGAAATGTTACTCATTTCCCAAACCAAAGAGAAAAGAGATGTGTAATTAGAATTAGAATTCAGAACCAATTGCACTTTCACTCTTAACTCATCCGTGCAGTGAAACACCCACACGCACATTAGTGAACGCACACCACTAGGGGGCAGTGAGCACACTTGCCTGGAGCATTGGGCAGCCCTCTGGGGTTCAAACAGGTGACCTTCCAGTCACAAAGCTGGTACCCTAACCTCCAGTCCACAACTGCCCCATGTAAGATCTCAATTAATATGTGGAAGAGCGCAATACCAAACTAGAAAAGAACATTTCCAAATGAAGAGTTGTTAAATCTGTAAAATAATTACTTTACTTCTATGTTGCTCTTTTGGAGCTAGCATTAGCGCCGCTATGGCGAGTTAGCAGTCAGCCAACGCTGGAGGGGCCAGCTAACACAGACCCCCCCAACCCCCCGAATACAAGGGAGTGTTTCATACACTCAGTAGAAAAATCCAGTTCCCTTCAAAACAAGATATTGCAGGAACAGGAGACAGTGTTCGACCAATTTTCATGTTCAACTTGTGTTTATGTGATTTTATGTTCAGATTCAGGTACACCCCGGGGCAAAAAAATGGGTCCAAAATAAGTCCAGATTTAAACCCTTTAGAGAATATTTAGTCTCACATTGAACACAAACTAGCCCAGCAATGTTTTTCAACTGTTTGAAGCCATCAGTGCTGAGTGGAGCAGTACTGACCCTTCTTTCTGTAAAAGGTTGTGTCCAAATTTACACACAAAACTTCAACATTCAAAGAAGTTAGTTTATCTGTTTGTGTAAGGATTTTGTTGACAAGACCATTTAAAGCTTAATGCTTTGCCATTTTGTACATTCTGATGAAGCCTATTTTGTTCATAAAATATACAGATTTTAAACGGAGAAACAATCTTTAGGACCCACTTATAGCAAATAAGAAGTCATTTATTGTGATTGACTACACAAACCAATTATTCACGATTAATTAGTTAAATTATTTGACAGCCCTAATATGTTTTGACACATCTGACATTGCCTTTCCCATGTGACTAAAATTATTCTGGAGGGGGCTGCATGTAACACCTAAGTTTACTGCTGTACTCAAACTTGCATTGAAGATTGAAGTTTCACAATGCAGACTGTTCCAAAATTATGCAACTGAAAATTGCTCAATCCTATAACTGACAGTTGTTCATCCTGTATAAAAACGTCCAGATCTCAAACTCCTGCAGCCAGACACACAGATAAACTCCACAGAGAAAAAAAACAGCTGCCAGGTGGGGTCAAATTATTCGTTAAAAAATGGTGGTCGCATCTCAATCAATGTCTTATCAGAAATGGGGTAAAGTGTACAAATGACGCTGTATCTGATTTGCTCTTTGTTTCAGTTCGGTGTTTTGCCCACTGCGATGGCAATCTGGACAGTTTTCCTGTTTCTTGGGCTTTTGCTTGCTCCAGGTAAGAGAAATACGAACTACGGAAGAGTTCAATTGTAAAAGCCTCTTTAAGCTGTTCGACCTTAAAGCTGAGAACATGATCCCAGTCAGCAAGGGTAATTTAATGTACAGGCTTACCTGTGCTGAAGCCCAGGGGGTCCTGAATAATTCTGGACCCTCGATTGTTTTTTTTTTATTTGGCTCTTTTTTTCTAATTACTGAAAATGACTACCGTTTTTAAGTTCTCTCTTGCGTTTTTCAGTTGGTACAGATGTGTGGGTTTTAGAGAGCAACATAGAAGTAAAGTAATTATTTTACAGAAGTAATTCCTTTATAGTTTAAGAGATACAGGGAGATTCACGCGAAAGAGGCCCTGAATATTCTGTTGTAACTCCTGTTAGGATGAAGCAATCTGAAAAAAAAAAATGCGCTACATAACTTGACATATGTGTAATCGATTGCATTACATGCGATGCTGGAAGTGATCTCCGTTTTCTGCCAGACACATTTCGACGCGTCGCTCCATGTTCCTGAACATACTGGCAAGCATTTGAGAGGTTAAACGTCGCGACGGCTGTCCGGCACCTACTTCATCGATGCAGGGGCATCCCGGCTTGTTCAAAGCTCCATACACTGAGGAGCACACTGCACACTGTTTCGTTCAGATTGCTTTGTCCTAGCGTGAGTTATTACAGAACATTCGGGGCCTCTTTCGAGTGAATCTCCCTGTATAATTTATAATTGGTGATTACTTTTTTACTCTTTTTACTCTTTTAACTACCTCAACTCCGGTTACTGCAAAGCAACCCTTTAAACTGCAGTAACCCAAAATGTGGGCCCACACTTCATTCCTCACTAATAGCTACATAACAGTCTTACAGTTTTGAGATTAATAACTGAGCAGTAAGCAAGCAGTTTAAGAGGTTCAGCTTGATCCTACTTTAAAATGGCTTTGCAGTGAACACTGCCATTGACAGTGCAGTGTGAGATATAGTTTAACCTGCTCCAGGTTTAAACTGCTCCATCTTTTTATTTTAGAAGGGGTAGCACAACTACGCCATGGTAAGACTTTTATATTTTAATATTTTTATGTACTATTGCTTTCATTCTTTTTCTTCTTCTTATGATCTCACTCTCCCTCACTTTATTTGAGCCCCTGAGCGATGTCTGCCTGAGTCGCCACATGGGAGCCACCAGAGCTGCTAGAGTCACCAGAGATCCTTCTCTGTTGGCTGATCTGCACCGTTTTGACCACCATGGAGTTCCATGCTGTACAAAGCTGTGCAAACCTCACCTGCATGAACAGACCCTCCTGCTGCTGCTGCTGCTGCTGCTGCTGCATAAACTCAAACTATTTAATTAACCATTGCTCTGCCTGTTTTTCCCGTTTTGTATTATAATATTTTATACTAATGCTGTTTGCTATCCAGAGGAGGATGGGTTCCCCTTTTGAGTCTTGGTTCCTCTCAAGGTTTCTTCCTCTTGCTCTTAGGGAGTTTTTCCTTGCCACTGTCGCCATTGTCGACGCTTATGGGGGCTTGAACCCGGATTTTTCTGTAAAGCTGCTTTGTGACAACGCCTGCTGTAAAAAGTGCTAAATAAATACATTTTGACTTGACTTGATATCTATTAATGTTATTAATGTACAAAAGCTCTCTGATTTACAGCGTTCATTACTTGTCCACCTGAATGGTCTGCATTTGGAAGATGCTTCAAGTTTTTCAAAACTGAACTCAAATGGACTGAGGCAGAGGTACACTGACAGTGTGGCTGAGGGTTCTGCAGGCTTAGACGGCAGAATGAAACTCATTGCCAAATAATTGTGAATAATTTAAAAGCTTACTTGACCTTTTACAGTGCAGTTGACCTATCCTGTAGTTTAGTGTGCTCAGGTTCTTTTCCCTCTCTATTCTAGACTGAATGCTTAAAGTACGGTGGGAATCTTGCTTCAGTGAGAAGCCATCGAGAAAACCTCTTTTTACAGCACCTCATCAAACAAGCCACTGGCTCGTTCACTCGGGCCTGGCTAGGCGCCAGTGACTGTGTAACAGTAAGTGTTGTCCAAAACCTGCTAGATAATCCAAACTGAAGCATCACCAAGGACTATAAATTAATGCAGTGATCTGCTTGTCTGTCCAGGAAGGAACATGGCTCTGGTCTGATGGATCCAAAATGAGCTTCAAGAACTGGGGTCCCACTCAACCCAGTAACTACCTGGGAAAGGAAAACTGCCTTGAGATAAACTATGGAGGTATTCATCTTATTTTTGTTATCGCTGGTGATACTTTTTGGTTCCCCGAAGAGCCATGTTTGAATAAGAGATATACACCGATCAGGCATGACATTATGACCACCTCCTTGTTTTTACACTTGTTGTCCATTTTATCAGCTCTGCTTACTATATAGGTGCACTTTGTAGTTCTACAATTACAGACTGTAAAAACACTGACATGGTGGTGGTGTGTTAGTGTGTGTTGTGCTGATATGAGTGGATCAGACACAGCAGTGCTGCTGGAGTTTTTAAACACTGTGTCCACTCACTGTCCACTCTATTAGACACTCCTTCCTTCTCAGTCCACCTTGTAGATGTAAAGTCAGAGACGATAGCTCATCTGCTGCTGCACATTTTGTGTTGGTCGTGCTCAAGTCCTTCATCAGTGGTCACAGGACGCTGCCCACAGGACGCTGTTGGCTGGATATTTTTGGTTGGTGGACTATTCTCAGTCCAGCAGTGACACTGAGGTGTTTAAAAACTCCAGCAGCACTGCTGTGTCTGATCCACTCATATCAGCACAACACACACTAACACACCTCCACAACGTCAGTGTTACTGCAGTGCTGAGAATGATCCACCACCCAAATAGTACCTGCTCTGTGAGGGTCCATGGGCCTCTGAGGGTCCTGACCACTGAAGAACAGGGTTAAAGGGGGCTAACAAAGTATGCAGAGAAACAGTTCTACAGTCTGTAATTGTAGAACTACAAAGTGCACCTATATAGTAAGTGGAGCTGATAAAATGGACAATGAGCGTAGAAACAAGGACATAATGTTTTGCCTGATCGGTGCCGAGTGTGAAGGACATTTTCTAAGGAACCTTCACATAATGTAAATGTTCTCTGGGTCCTTCTTAGAACCTTTACTTTTTATGGAGGTTCTTTACAAATAGCGGTGAGACTGCCTCATAGCTGTGATGTAGCATTGCTCAAGAACAGGCAGAGTAGTCAGTAGTCACAAGGGCAGTCAAAGCACAGCAAGTTCCAGAAGTCATAAAAAGCAAAACAAGCAAAAAGTAAAAAGGTCAGGCAACTCCAGAGTGGTGCAACCATCCAAGCATTGGCTCTATCATCAGGAGATCATGGTGATGCTACAGCCATCCGTGGCTGGGAGTCTAAGAGAGCATGATTGGTCTCACTCTCTGGGTGGGTAGGATGGCCCCGCCTCTCTCCCCATCACCCAACATGGTGCTAGTCAGCGCAGATGTCTGTTAGCTGATGTAATAGATCAGTTGGCACTTTCCTCCAATTGCGCTGTCCAGTGACGTTGCGTGAGCGGCAGTTCGAAAAGATGTGGTGACTGGCTTTACAGGTCCTGGAAGAAGCCTGTGCTATAGCCTTCACTCTTCTAGCCCTGGTGGGGTGGAACTGAATACGACTAAATTGGGGGGGAAAAAAAAAGTTTGGCAACAAATTTGTAGAAGAAAAGGCTCCGGTTTAAGATATGAGAAATTGTTATTCTTCGAAATAACTTAATAAGAATGATCTTATTTTCTTTTCTTAATTATTTTCATAGGAATAATTCTAAGAAAAAGTGGTATTCTTGAAAATGTCATGTTCTTAAATGTTTTCTTAACCTTACGACAGCTTCACACAAGGTCAGTGTCTTAATTTATCACGGACGCTGCCTCTGCTGCTCTTGCCCGTCCTCGTCCGTCGCCCCATAATTATCATATTTACCAATGAGGACTTTTTTCCTGCTGGCTGTTTCTCCCACTGTCACCTCTAGCTCTTGTTTGCTGAAATGTTTCAAATACTTGGTTTGAAGATTTTCCTCCATTTTGCTCCTCTGAGCAGATTAAACTAAATAGCAGAAACAACCATTAATACAAATTCAAAATGAATCTCGCCTCATTTATGGTACGTGTTAAAATGCAACGCAGCAGACATAAGAAAACAATGAAAAGAAAATAATTAAGATTATCTTAAGAGAATATTTAAGAACTTTTTAAGAAAGTTTTTGTGAATCCGGCCCCAGGTCCAGTATTATCACTGACAGTAACATGAAAAAAAGGAATGTGGTATATAATGAATTTTGGAATTAATCTCTTCATATACTGTTCACAGTCTGTGTCGAGGTGTTGTGAGTATGAACAGCTGTGGTGGACACCACTAAGCTGAATTAAACTCTGATGCATTATGCATGAGGATGAAGATTCCTAAATGGTGTTTTTTCCATTTCTTACCACAGATACTTATCAGTGGAACGATGATGCGTGTGATGTTCGCAAGCCATTTGTTTGTGCCTTGATGAGAGGAAGAGGAGAAAAAGAAGAAAAATTAAATGATCATGAATGATCAATGAATGTTACAATAAGATTCAATAAACGTTAAGCAAGTGGTTGTTGTCACTGTCCATATCATATAAACCAGCTTGCATTTTCAAATATGCTTAAAAAATACTTCAAAAAATATTCTTCATCTTTTCATATAAACACACTTGAATTTTAAGCCAATTAATCCTGAGGTATTTGTGTGTATGTGGAGGGACTGTTCTGACCTCGTTTCAGCACCACCATAAAAATATGACATACAGTACTTTAATGCATACCCTCAGCAGTTGGGGCGATTTATATATTTGCATATAGGAAGAACCAGCACTGTCTACTTCAACAAAAATTGTTAATTATTGAAATTGTCATGGAAATATGCATTATTTTGTTTCTAATATAGACAATTAGATTTGTGTAGAATTAATGGAAGTCTAATGTCTCTAAGAAACACAGGGATCAGCATGAGTTGAGTGAAAAGCAATCACAGACTCTAGTATTAGAATATGAAATATGATTCAATATATACTGAAAAGCCAAAACATTATCACAGATGAAATTAATGGTGCTGATGATCTCATAACAGCACATGTCAAGGTCTGGGATATATTAGACGGTAAGCGAACTGTTGCTTCTCACTGTCAATGTATTAGATGTGGGAGGAATGGGCAGGCATGAAGACCTGAGCAACTTTGACAAGAGCTAAATCTTTATGGCTAGATGAGGGGCACAAAATGGATTGTAGATTGTATATAGATTGTACCCCTCAAACTACAAATATAACACCATAGATTACACAGCTTAGACGAGCCCCTTAATCATCTAATGGAGCCTGCCAGTAATCACAAACAATACAGTGAAATACAAAGCTCAGAGTACTAGCCTACAAACAAATTCACAGAAGATACTAAACACAGTAAAGCTAGGATCATGGACTCGCTGTGAAAAAATGCCTTCTAAACATTAACACCCACTGCCACACTCCACCACCCCCAGCACTAGTGGACAGTGCTGCTAAGCTCTATTCAATTTGAGCAACACCCCAGCATACTAACTACAAAGCTTGACTATCAGTGAAACTTTTAAAGCATACATCAGCAACAACGAAGCACAGTCCTAAAAAAATTAATCCCCACCAGAGCAAAAAAGTCTCCACTTTTAAGTGACCCTTATTAGTCCCACAACAGGAAAATTTCACCTCTGCATTCTAACCCAGTGAAACACCACACTTACACTAGTGAACACACACACTATGGGGCAGTGAGCAGCCCTATCCACGGCACCTGGGGAACAGTTGGGGGTTAGGTGCCTTGCTCAGGGGCATTTCTGTTAGGTACTGTCAACTCAGGGGATCAAACCAGCAACCTTCCGGTCAAAAGGCTGGTTCCCTAACCTCCATCCCACGACTGCCCCCACTTAGGATAGCCTTAAAAATAAGAAAGGCAAAATAACAAAAGAGTGATCCGTTGGAAGGACCAAACATTCAGCCCAGCTAACCACTCATACCGAATCGGGGATCCCACACAAAATATACAGCACACAAACAACAGTACTCACCTGCAGGAGTCAAATCAAAGTGAAGAGGACAGATGCAGGCCACCAAACCAACCAGCAAAAAGCATAAGCTTACTAAAAAGTAATAAGAAATTTGACAAGCCCCCATTATGTTACAACCAAGGATCAAGGGAAGCAACATAAAGTCAAAACACTGTATTTACTGAATTTACTCAAAAGAACAAGAGGATGCGAACAAGCTGGGTGAAATTTATAGGACATGTCAGCAGGCCATAAAGATTTTTTGTTGACTTGGAACATTTAGTGAATAACAAACTTACTGGGGTGTTCAGAGACCCTGATGACTTGCCGATACTGATAGTCAACTATTGTTAGCTGATATTTTACATAATGTTATATTAATATGAAAATGAAAGACAAACAAACAGACTCAACTCTGAAATGGTATTTTATTACCGAGTCGAAAGGAATTTACAAACAATGCGAAATCTTTGCTGATTATAACCATTGACTAGCATTACAATATTGTGACCAGCTAAATTACAAAAGCTTTTTTATGTCTATTTAAGCCATCTTTGTGTGAGACTTAACTGAGAAAGCACGCTGGTGGTATAAGACCACTTGGACAGACTTGGCTGTCGTTATAGCTCCCCTTGCTGTAACTCTCAGAATGCAGCTCGCGCTTGCGTTGAGTTAGGCCCGAAACACATTTCACGCTTCAAGCTATGCAGACTATGCAGTGTGTGTTTAGTCAGACACAGAGGGAAATTTCTGTGTCTTTGTTTTCTTTGTGTACTGTTATATTCTAGGTAGTTTGTAAAGTTGTTTGAGCTCTAAAATCCAGGTAGTTGTGTATTGTAGCTCACTGCTTTAGTACAGCACATTTCCATTTTTGCTTTGATCCTGTGTGTTGTTTTTGCTTAATTTTTCCATATCTCACACTAGAACACAGACACTGCTGTACTTTAACTTAAGATAAGATTGATTTTCACATGAACTTCTGGACTACTAGCAGCAAAACAGCCCCAAAGCATCAATGCCCAACCACAACACTTAACAGTGGCTATCAGGTGCTTTTCATTGTATGCAGTGCGTTTTTTCACCAAATGGGACAATGGAGTGCACGACCACAAACTTACTCCAGCACACAGTGCTACATTTAACATGAACAGAGGTAGATAAACACACATAAACACAATGCAATTATATACATTTCTCTTATAACATATGAAAAAAAGTTCACATAATTTTTCCACTCTTTCTCTTGAATTTATTACATTTATCCTTAATAAATTAAATGTGCTTTTCTTTATTCTCCAGCTTCAGTGCCTAAGATGACACAGGGTTGATGTTTAAGCAATGCGCATACTTTCCTAACAAACGGCTACTTCAAGATAAAATCTGTTGACCGTTAACACTGCAGTCATCCTGATGCAGCTTTTATGGATTTATAATGTCACAATCAACTTTGGGTTAGTGATAAATATATTTCTTAATTCACACTGAGGCAACATAAGACTGAAGCAATTATGCAGTACCATATTAAATGAAGTTCTCTAACTGGTGGTAAGATGTGTTAACTATCAAATATTAGTCACCTATAATCATCTGTCACATTGATTAATTATGTTTTATTATAGAGTCCTGCTGTTGACATCCCTTCTTAATAAAAAGCTAATGAAGTCCTGGCCATGACTTAACTATCACTACTTGATCATCTTGCTCCCACACCTTATGAAGTGGTGTCCATAACTTAACTATCATGACTTAATTATTTCATACCCACACTTTATGAAGTAGTGGCCATGACTTACGACTGAATGATCAAATTCCCTACACCATATGAAGTCATCGACATGACTTAACCCTCACATTTAAATTCTCTTTTTGCTACGTTATGAAGTCGTGGCTATGACTTAACTACCATGACTTATCTAATTTCTACACCTTATGAAGTTATGGCCACAACTTAATTCTCAGAACTAATGGTCACAACTTAACTTAACCACAACTTAGAAAATAATGGCCATGACTTAACTATCATGATTTAACTATCTTGTTCCCACACCTTACAAAGATGTGGCCACAAATTATCTCTGACAACACAGTTGTCTCATTCTTACACATTATGTACTCATGGACATTACTTAACTTTTACAACTAAATGATCTCATTCCCACACATTATGAGGTTGTGGCCACAACTTAATTCTCACAACTTAATTACCTCGTTTTTTACACCTTATGAAGTCATGGCCACGAGTTATTTCTCACAACTTAATTATCTTGTTACCACGTTATGAAGTCATGGCTGCAACTTAACCATCATAATTTAATTTTATCATTCCCACACTTTACAAAGTTGTGGCCACAACTTAACTACAATGACTTAACTATCTCTTTCTTATACTTTATGAAGTCATGGCCGCCATGTATCTCTGACGACTAAATGATCAAATTCCCACACAATATGAAGTCATGGATATGACTTAACCTTTACAACTAAATGATCTCATTCCCACACATTATGAAGTTGTGGACATGACTTAATTCTCACAACCTAATTATCTCATTCTTACACCTTAAGAAGCTGTGGCCACAACTTATCTCTGACAGCATAATTATCCCATTCTTACACATTATGTAGTCATGGACATGACTTAACTTTTACAAATAAATTATCTCATTCCACACTGTGGTATGCGCCTGCCCCCGGGTCCCGACGATGACGGCCGCGAGAGCCGGCAGGAAGGCGGGGCCCAAACACCCAGCGGCGATGAACCTCGGCCAGGACGGCAGGGAGAGAGCCGCGAGCGGGAGGGGGCGGAGCACAAAGCCCGAACTCCGCCGAGTGACCCGAGTGACGCAAGTGAAGATGGGAGGAGGAGGACTACGATGCCAGCAACAAGAGGCACAAGGACAAAGAGTGAGTCCCGGGCCCCGCCCCCTGTTCGGCAGCGAGGCCGCTTCATTACACCTCACGTTCGAACCGGGCGGCCGAGCTGCAAGCAGGGGGCGGTGACGGGGAGGCGGAGCAGCGAGCTCTCGTTCCCTCTCGGCTCGGGTGCTCATGCTGCCCTTAATGAGAGCCAGCTGATGCTGATCTGGCTGGCAGCGTGAACGCCTTTTTAAAGAGCTGAGAGGGAACAGCGCGAGAGAGGGCCGAGCAGCAGCAGAAGAGAATTGAAGAGCTGAAAAACTGTAAGGATAAAGGACTGAAAAGTCTAGCTGTTGCGAGAGGCCACTGAAAAGTGGCCAGCTTAGCAGAGCTTATTTGGTTTTGGTTTGAGTTTGTATTTATTTGGTGTGCAAATAAAGCAATGACTGCTGCAACCCTGAACCCTGCCTCCAGCGTCCTCCTTGAGCCCGGGGTAGCACATGACGTGCTACAGGTGCCGAAACCCGGGAGGAGGACACCAACACACCGAGGGAGTCTCTGTGGCATAGTCGGGGCCCGGGGGGCGGGCGCATGCCACAACTTAATTCTCACAACTTAATTATCTCATTCTTACACCTTATGAAGTCATGGCCACAATGTATCGCTGACAACTGAATTA